GTGTGTGTGTGTGTGTGTGTGTGTGTGTGTGTGTGTGCGCGTGTGCGAGCACATGCAGCATGTGTGTGGAAGTCAGGACAACTTAGTGTCTTTTTCTACCTTTACATGGGTTCCAGGAATTATTAAGCTCAGGTTGTCGTCCTTGCCTTGGAAATACCTTTTCCTACTGAGCTGTCTCTCAGAGCCTGATCTCCCCATATTTGATAACGTCCCAAGTATGACCTGTTAGCAAATCATGCAGCCTCTACTGAGAGCATGTTCTTGCCACGTGTTCTCATGACGCGTGCTGTTGCATTGGCTGAGGCATTGTGATCTCACTTCTGCTTCTATTTGTTTCTCTCCCTTCAGTCAGCTCAACCCTACCCCTGATGGAGGTGGCTCATCCTGTTCCTGAAAGCTCTCAGGAGTCCCCATGGCTTCCCACGTGGGCTGCACTGACCCTCTCTCCTTCGCCTCTGGGCTCTCAGTTTTTCCAGATCCCTTCCCCGTCCGTGCTGCCTCCATTGGAGTATCTGCCGGGCTCCTCTGGAACCCTTTCTACATAGTGAATGCAAATGATATCATTGCAGTCAAGCATTGCATAATGGCAGAATGTGCTCTGGGAAATGTGTTGATTTCTTCACTGTGGGAACATCATAGAACTCTGACACAAACTACACCGCCGAGCCTGACTACGAACAGATCACACTGTAAAGCCTCCCTCCCTTCCTCCCTCCCTCCCTCCCTCCCACCCTCTACCCTCCCCATCCTCCTTCCCCCTCTCCCCTGTCTTTCCTAATGTTGCCTTCTCAGTAAGATTCCCCCACAGTCAGCTTCCATCAGCCCCCTTCGTCTGTCATTCCTTCCTTCACCTTTTCTCACCTGTGACTCACACAGGAGAAGAAAATCTCTCCAATGTGGCCCCGTTGCTTCCCACTACATCCTCAGGGGCCACAAGATGATCTGCCCGGGAGCTGCCGATCAACCGGGTTGAGCGGTTGGCTGAATGAATGGGTGGCTAATGCATTTTAGTTGAATTTATTACTTTACTTCACCACTTAAAAACAAAGCAAACTTTATGCCCATTCTTAAACATGGGAGAGATTAAAGAAGAAAGGAGCAACAGGCACTCCTGGTACGCATCACCTCTGTGTCACAGATCATGTGGCCTTATTGGCTTCCACCATGCTGGAGATAAGTCATATATATTGTGACATACGCACATTTCCAAATGGTAAGGACATTTTCCTGTGTTGCCACAGTGTCTTCCCACACCTGTTCAAATGAACTTGTGACTTGCTGTGCACACTGCCTGTGTTCACATGACCTGATTATTTCATGTCCTTTCCAGTTGGTTTATTCCAGTCAGAATCCAATAAAGAATCACTAGCTGCAGTTCACCAGGTCCCTTTGTGTGTCTTCTGAGACACAGTCTTGCTCTTATCCCAGGTTGCCCCCAAACTCATAATCCCCCTGTCTCATCTTCCCGAGTGCCAGGGCTACAGATGTGCACATACCCTCTCTGTCCTGCCCACACTGGCTCCTTGTGTCCTCAGTAGTCATCTAGACAGTGCCCATATCTTTCTACACTGTGTCTTCCCCTTACCCAGTGACATCTTGTTCAGGACTCCAGCCTTGTGGTCCTGTAATGGGTCTTCTGATGTTTTTAGTTTTCTCCTCTCCTCACCATTTCCTACAACCTGGAAGTGAGTTCTGAAGGCTGACAGACTGCGATTGGGTGAATGAAATTCCGTCCTGTCAGTTCTTCATTTGGAGCATGGGGAATTTGGGACTAACTCCTAATTAATGTTAATGGAGAAGGGACACCTTTATAACTCTCAAAAGTTCTGACATTTGCATGAAGATGTCCTAAAACCCTGGCTCTCAAGCCTGGAGTGGTGACTCAGGTGGTTAAGAGGGCTTGGCCGTTCTTTCAGGAGACCTGGTTTTGGTTCCCAGCACCCACATGCTGGCTCACAAATGTCTGTAACTCCAGTTCCAGGGGGATCTGATGCCCTCTTCTGCTCTCCACGGGCACTGTAAACACATGCACAAACATATGTGCAGGTAAATATACACATAAAATAAAAATGATAAATAGAATCTATTAAGACACCTGGATCTGTTCTGTACAGGTCTTTTTTGAAAGGGTCTACATGGTTCTTGATAAGCCATCCCAGAGTAAGGCTTCTGGCCTGCCCACAGGCATGGTGTGCCTCCTCCAAGCTTCAGAACCACCGGAGAAGACTCTGCGTTAAGCAATGTCTCTTCTGTTTTCATAGGAAGAACAAATAAAGAGCTTGGGGGTGCCATGTTGTTTTTCCTGTGGGAAAATTGGCTTCCCCTTGGCTGGTGACAGTGTTCAACTGTCTCTACACGAGGGCACTGTACCCCCTGAGACCAAGCTTACGCACTTGTACGAGGGTGCTCTCAGTTTTGAGACTTCTGCTTGGAGTTTGTTTCCAGGTGGAATAATTAATTCTCATGCGAGGCAGAAGTGTAAAGATGTAAGAGTGGTTCTTCCCCTGCCCCCGTTTCTTTTTAGAATGCACAGAGCGCTAGAAAAGAGGGGCCATAGAACTGGAGTGCACTTCTGAGGTGCACTAGGGTATCTAGGGTAGATAACGGACTCGAGTTGTTTCCTTGGACCCTGGTTTATAATTCTTAAACTTTAAATACATTTAATATCTCACTCTTTTCTTTTACCATCACCGAATACTTAGGGCTGAGGTATTTATTTATTTATTTATTTTGGGTGTTTTAAGACAGGGTTTCTCTGTGTAACAGTCCTGGCTGTCCTGGAACTCACTCTGTAGACCAGGGTGGCCTCGAACTCACTGAGATCCGCCTGCCTCTGCCTCCCAAGTGCTGGGATTAAAGGTGTGTGTCACCAATGCCTGGTAGGACTGGGTAATTTTTAAAGACATTAATTCCTCACGGTTTGAAGGCAGAGAATTTAGAGGTGTGCCCGTGCATGTGTGTGTGTGTGTGTGTGTGTGTGTGTGTGTGTGTGCAGCTTTAGAGGCCTGGCCTACTTTCATGATAACTAACTCACTTAGTGACCCAGTAATCCACTAATGTGTTAATCATTTGAGGGGGGCAGGAGCCCCTTGACTCAGTCATATCTCAGAAGTCTCATCCCAAAATACCATTAATGAGTAAATTTGGGAGCTGAGTTTCCAATGTATGAATTCTGGGAGTCGGTTCAAACTGTGGTGCTCAGTCTAGTATTTCGTGCTGATTTAGGTGTACAAAATATGTTCACCTGACTCTTCAGTTTATTAAGACTGAAGCACCCAAGTTACCCAGATAATATCTTCAGTAAACACTGCTATTGTTGCATTAAACCTCACATTTCAACTTCCTTTCCCCCTTTTTATGACATAGGAAATCCAGGATCCGTTTATGCAGTGGCTTGGGAGGCATGTGGACCCTGAAGGAGTCATAAAATCCAGCAAGCTCACCCTCAAGTTCATTTCCTCTTACACATCTGAAGTGGAGGTCACCCCGTCTTTTATTCCTGTGGTTACCGATCCTGACGCCTTCTCATCAGAGCACTTTAACTTAGAGACGTATCGGCGAAATCTGCAGACCTCGAGGCTCGGAAAAGTAATTCTGTTTGCAGAAGTGACCCCCACGACCATGAGCCTCTTGGATGGGTGAGTTCCAGTCAGGTACTCGGCCTGGCCAAGGTGTGCACTGATGTCTGTTTTCTGTACTCAGTGAGCTTGAGCCTTAGAAGGAGGAATTAAAAGAAGGACTTCAGTCAGAGTCTGTATTTTATACGTGGCTTTGGTGGCTGGCGTTTCGCTTCCTTTAATCAGCCATTCCACAATGTCCTTGAGGGAGATTTTGAAAAGTAGTGTAACAGGTGGAAGTGGTCGGGTGACCATTTTTGTTTGCTGTGGTAATCAGTGGTAAACATTTGGTCTGGGATGTTCTGCGGGAGAAGAGAAGTAGGATCGACAGACACATAGCTGGCTTTGACGGAGACAAGTGGGGACTTGTGTTTTGAAGACGGTTCTAGTCCGTTCCTAGTCATTTTCCAAGCTCTCTCTAATCCCATTTGCGTGTGTGAAATTTATTCTTACTGTAAACTTTCATTTTTACTTCTGTTCTGTGGCCTCTATTTGGAGTCAAAACATGGAAAACAGGTGAAAGGGATCTTTCTAAGTGCCACACATTGTCTGTTCTAAGTAACACAATGATTTTAGTTTAAGATGTTGGGTAGAAGTGAGAGAAACTCAGTAAAGTGTCTTCCCTGTGCATGGAACCAAAATTGACAACTACGGACTCCAGAAGTCACTAGATTCACAGTTTCTAGGGTTTACACATAGGGATTATCAGACGGGTAATTTAACATACAGAAACGCTGTTGCCTTTGTTCTAATAGTATCTGGGATGGAGCTAATTGGTTATATGCTGGTATGGAATAATGACGTCGCTGGCGTGTTCCTGACTCTCGAGCAGCTGGCAGAGGGGCAGTTAGTGTGTGGAGTGTGTAGGGGGATCGATTGGCAGGGGCACGCCGCTGTGAGTGAGCTATAACTGTTTGTGTATTGAGTTAATTGGTGTTGCTGAAGGTACTTATTTGTTCAGTTTCACGTTCCCCAAAGAGAAGAGTATTTCTGCCTTCTCGGGCAGGGAGGAATCCTCTGTCTTCTAGTCTGGTCTGTGCTTGGCACAGGCAGTGGGATGGCTTTGATTGGTTGGTCCCTCTGCTGGGCGGGTTCTGAACGGGCAGCTGTCCTCCACCCCTATCCAGTGGGCTCCCTACCAACACTCCCAGGGAAAGCTGCTCACAACAGCCTAAGGGGTCAGAAGTTCCCAGAGGCTGTGGCTGTTTTAGGGAAAGGCATCTGAACAGTCTACTTAGTATCGGCAGGACCCAGAGCAGCTCCCGGGGATCAAGTGACAGGTGGGGCAGCGACAGGTTGCTGTGTCCCGAGAGTGCGGCCAGAGGGTTTCTGGTGCTGGCATGGCCGGTGCAGCTCTCTATTAGGTGCTTACCTGTCACCCCACCCAAAGCAGCTTGCAGAATATGATTCCTCAGGGAAAAGAGCCTCTTGCTGTCACTGCGGGGAACATGGCGGCAGCAGGCATTGTGAGCCAGAACAGCTGAGAGGTCACATCTCAAATGGAAACCAGGAAGCAGAGTATAAATTGGGGGTGGCAAATGGCTGTGAAACCTCAAAGCTTGCCCCCCCGACACCCCCAGAGACATATTTCTTCCAGCAAGGCCACACCTAGGCCCTTCCCAATCAGAGCCACCAACTGGGGACCAAGTGCTCAAAGATGAGAGCCTGTGGGAGACACTCATTTGAGGCACCACAGATCCACACCATGTACCTCATGGAGACACAGACGGTGCTTAGCTAGTGATTCGGACACTTTCCCCTCCAGAAATTTCTTCGCCATGCATCTGTGAATCCAGCAACGCCATTCATCATCTCTTGGTGCTTGGTGGCTATCAGTGGACAGTCATGTATCTCTGTCACGGTATATAGCATGCTGGGTGACAGGAGGGTGGAAGGAAACAGGTTGGTTTGGTTGCAGTCCATGTGGACACTTACTGGATGTTACATTTGGCCTTTGTGTTCCTGTGTCATTGCCAGGCCTAGTCAAATTAAAAAAAGGCAAGGGAACAAATGTGGTCTTTATGTACGTGTACTGTGTGTGTGTGTGTGTGTGTGTGTGTGTGTGTGTGTACACACGTGCGTGTGGAGGCCAGCAGTCCATGTCTCCTCAGCTGCTTCCTCTTCACCTTACTGTTTTGAGATAAGAGTGTCTCACTGAGTGTGGAGCTTATTCATTTGACAGGATGGGCTGCCCAGCAAATCTCAGGGACCCGCCTGCGTGCACTCCTCCTCAGCACTGTATCTCAGGTGTGCAACGCCACACCCAGCTTCTTTATGTTGGTGCTATAGAGCCACACTCAGGGCCTTCCGTTTTTGTGTGGGACACTCTTCACCAACTGAGCCATCTCCTCCCCCGTTGGGTGTCTGTGGCTCCAGCTGAAGGCCAGTTCCTAAAGGGGTGGGAAGACACGTGGGGACGCCTGGAAGTCTTCAGGGAAGTGTTTCAGTCTATTAAGAAACTGTGCCGTGAATATGTTGTAGCCTCATGTCCCTAGGATTCAAAGTCGGGGTGGAGATGGAGACTGTTACTCTGCAAACGCTAGCTTTGTTTTGTTGCCTCCTTCATGCCTTTGGAGGCATCCTTCTGTTTTTGAAACTCAGGGAGATTTGGGGATCTCTCATCTGACAAAGGCTTTGACACTCTCTGTGTTTTGACTTTCACCACAAAGCCCACTTAACTGCTATGCTGCAGCAGGAGATGCTGGGAGCTCTCGTTTGGTGTCTGGGTACCACCCTGGGTTCATCTGCAAGTGACAGAGCCCCTTCACTTCTGTCCCAACCCCGTGACTCTGGGAGCAGGAGCAATGGAAAGTTGAGAATTACTTGCCCGTTACCAAAGGCAGTCAAAGGGCACGCTGCCCTCCCCTCCAAAAACAAAGTCAAAGCCTGACCACTGACTGATGCTCCCGGTCATTGGATGAGGACATGCTGTACAGTTCCCTCGGTTGGACGGGGAGTTTCAGCCTTTATCCCCAGCCTTGTCATTTTCTCTGGCATATCATCCTGGCCTGGAACTTTCCTCCACTCTGTTGTAAGGGGAACGGGAGAGTGTTGTGGATGCCTCAATCTGCATTGTTGGCTCTGTGGAAGGCCAGAGGCCTTTATTTTCCTTCCTGCGCTGTTTCCATGTTGAGTTAGCTCAGCTGTTGGGTAGAGTCCCCCAAAAATGGACTCCAGACTGTGTCTGGCCCAATGAGCCACTGAACTTTCCATGGTCACGTCACGTCCTACAGCTGTGCCAGGGAGTCATCTGTAGACTTGGATAGGTAGGTACAAGGCCGTCACCTCTGCTGGAGCAGCATCTCCATGTGTTTGCTTCGCTGGGATATTTAGGGAGCCTGTGCATTCTGTTTACTGGTAAGATGTGGGGACAGCTGAGGCCACAGAGCACTGGATCGTGAGTCATTGTTATTTTTGGAATTGTCTTTTCTCGGAGTCACAGTATCTTTCTTGATTGACTCATGCCAAGTCTCTGTCAGATACTGAAGTGAATACATGCGAAGCCATCGTGCGGGCATCCAGATGAACACAAACTGTATACATGTGCATGCCGAGTGGACTCACCAAGGATCGGCTCTTTTTTATTTGTGAAGAATAATTCCGATTCTCCCATTTAATGTCTAATTACCACTGTGTGAGTCCCTGGATCTTTCAAGCACGTTTGCCTAAAGCACTAAATGGGATCAGCCAGGCACTGTGCGCACCAATTACCACTACTCTTGCCTCAGGGAATGTCCCCAAAGTGCATTATGGTGACATGGAAGTTCAGGAGATGTGCTCCCATTTTTGGTCTGGAGAGGGTTTGGCAGAGTCAGGTCAGGGTGACAGGCAGATGGACGCGTCAGCGGGTCACTTACAGCTTACTGAGTGTTGCTGCTCCTTTACAAGGCTTGCAGTCTGGGGAAAATGACGGGACCCTGACGGTGTCTTCTCCAGCCAGCTCTGAGACATTGGCGGCATTGGCGGCATTGGCGGCATTGGTGGCATTGGCGGCATTGGCGGCATCCTCTCCCTCAGCCTCATTCTCTCTTAGCTCCGAGAACACACAAGTTGAAGAGCAGATGCTACCTGGCACCTTCTCCAGCTACGTCTGACCTAGACGTGTTCCCACGCCAGAGCTG